TTGGGATGTGCCAAATTTCTTAGCAATGCTGAGACAGACAGAAAAAAAAAGCCACAGGAGACTGTTGAGGGGGACTGGGTCTGGAACCAGAGAAGTATAAGATTTCGGGATACCTCTGCTCTTTCCCCTTGGCTTCTCTAAGCAGTGTGTGGCCCTGAGGACCTCTTGGATAAATGTTAGCCATTGATATTATCATTTATTTATTTATTGGGTACCAGGGATTGAACTCAGGGGCACTGGGCCACTGAGCCACAACCCCAGCCCTATTTCGTATTTTATTTAGAGACAGGGTCGGTCTCACTGAGTTGCTCAGCATCTTGCTTTTGCTGAAGCTGGTTTTGTAAAAACTTTTTTGAACTTGAGATCCTCCTGCCTCAGCCTCCTGAGTCGCTGGGATTATAGGTGTGCACCAGCGTGCCTGGCCAGCCATTGTTAAACATCTTTGAAAGATGGAAGATTGGGCTGGGGATGTGGCTCAAGCGGTAGCGCGCTCGCCTGGCATGCGTGCGGCCCAGGTTCGATCCTCAGCATCACATACAAAGATGTTGTGTTCTGCCGCAGTCCGGCTGCAGCAAAATAACCGGGGGGTGACTAACAACTTGTGTAGATTGATACAGCAGGAGTGGAAGCCGTTTATTGCAGGACAGGAGCAGTATTTATACATTCCACACAGCTTATCTAATTAGCATAAACTAGATACATCAGTCAACCAATAAGGAATCTCCACACTTAATGGCTCGCTGGCATTACTTCACAAACCACTCCCTCTGGCATTTTGCCAGGCGCCATCCAGACTTGTTTACAGACTCTAACATTTCTCTAGAAAAATGCCAGGTGCCATCCTGACTTGTTTACAGACTCTAACAATTCCCCCTTTTGTTTAATTTAAATGACGACCATAGTGGTTTTTACATAAACACCACAAATAATCTGCTACGAGCAGAAGGGGAGGATACAAAATGTCACAATACCAAGCCAATTGATGGCTCCATGCAAGAAGCCTTTGGAAAAATTATACCAGCAATGACACCATTTGCAAAGATACCAAGTTACAATTTGTTGTAGTTACAGTTTGTTGTCTCAGTCCAGGTAAAGCAGTGTCTCAATAGATTAACTCACAGTCCAGGTAAATCACAGTCCAGGTAAGTTATGCAGGCAGCTAGCTTAAATCACAGTCCAGGTAAGTTCTGCAGGCAGCTAGCTTAAATCACAGTCCAGGTAAGTTCTGCAGGCAGCTAGCCTAAGCTGTAGCAGCAGAAACAGCAACAACTCCCAAGTCTCGTCCGTTTCTCAGCCGAAGTTTTGTCCGGTTCTCAGCAACACTGGAAATTCTTCCACCTTCGTCTTCACTGACACTGGGACGAAGGCAGGAACTCCGGATGGCTAAAGAAAATCCTGTAGTATTCCAGCAGGCACTAAGAAAACAACCTTCTGAACAATTTAGTACATTATCTCAAGGTTTTTTACATTTGAAATAAGCCTTAATAGTGCTTATTACTCATTAGCTTCCAGGTGTGGGAGAACCATTGTAGTTACTAGCCTTGGAAATGACCAAACATCAGGGACGCCAGTAGCGTCTTTTGCTGGCTGTAGCGTCCTGGGCAGCCCCAGATGGCCCTGGGGAGAGTCCCAGACTCAAACTGCCACTGGGCACAGGGAGCAAGAGCCTGCGAGACTGTGCCTCCAGGTCAGGTCTAGATTTGGGCTCCCGGCAGTGGAAGAGCCAGCTCCCCGGCCAGGAGGCGGGGAAGGGCCAGTCGCCGCCGCCTCTTGGAAAATCCTTGCTGCGCTGTGACTGGCTTGCACACTCGGCAGCCGCCTCTCTGCTTCACGCACCCTCCGGTAACGAAAAGTATTTAGTAGTAGCCTTTTGCTGCAACTTTTTTCCTGATAATCCTTCTTCTTTTGAACTTTCTTTTTCTTTCTGACTAGAGTTCCTGGGCTCTTATCAACACATGCCCTAACTATTCTTGGTTCCACTGGGGTGCCTCCTTTCCTTAGTAATTTACTTCTCACCCCTTCCATATTTTCGTCACAAAGACAATACAACATTTCAAAACAAAACAAGACACAAACATACTGTATCAATCTTTTCCATTTTTTCAAAATGGCCATTTTTCCTCTCACCCTATCTGCCTAGGGACGAGCAGATTGCTCCCGTCCTATCTATGGACGGGCAGCTTTTTTTCGTCACTTACCCTCAAGTGTCCCGGGGCTCCCCGTACGGGCCACCATCTGCCGCAGCCCGGCTGGCTGGGCAAAATAACCGGGAGGTGACGAACAACTTGTGTACGTTGATACAGCAGGAATAGGAGCCGTTTATTACAGGACAGGAGCAGTATTTATACATTCCACACAGCTTATCTAATTAGCATAAACTAGATACAGCAGTCAACCAATAAGGAATCTCCACACTTAATGGCTCGATGGCATTACTTCACAAACCACTCCCTCTGGCATTTTGCCAGGCGCCATCCAGACTTGTTTACAGACTCTAACAGTGTTCGCTGAAAACTGAAAAATAAATATTAATGAAACTCTCTCTCTCTCTCTCTCTCTTTAAAAAAAAAAAAAAGATGGAAGATGTTTCATGCAGGGTGTGGTACTCCCTGGAGAATTATTGCTGCCCTCAGCCCAAGGCAGCACTCTAAGACCACCACCTCTAACAGCCTGATACACCCCAGAGGGGCCTGAACTGGACTCACTGCTCTGGAGGTTTCACTCGCACGCAGGCACTGCCCTCTGCTGGCCACAGGCAAAGCGTGCAGCTTTGCTTAATCTTTGCAGCCTTACTTTCCTCAGTGGTCCCCAAGGCTGCTTCCCACTCTGCTTCTGGGTGTGGCTCAAGGGTACCCTGCACTCTTATCACTGCCCATTTGGAGAGATCTTTCCTTCAGGTAGGTTCCCTGAGTATCTGTGACAGGTTGACGTTTACTGGTGCCTCTCCCATGTGGGCGAGGGCCTTGCTCAAATCTAGAATAAAAAGACACCTTGGTACATGATGTCCAAAGGCAGGGCAGCCTGGCCTCTTGCAGCCCAAAGCCACATCCCTGGGTCCACCAAGTCCCTGATGTCAGTTCCTTCTGAAAGCTCAAGGCTGCCAAAGAATTCACTGTTCGTTCCAGCCAACCCTTGCTCTAGGCCTCCGACCAACAAGGCACGAATCCAGAGCACGGAAACCTTGTGCAGGAAACAACCGTTTTGACACCCCCACCCTCCCACCCCAACCAAGGGCCATGAGGGCCCTGAGGCATCCCAGACCTGAGGTTCTAGCCGTGGGCCTGCAGCAGGCTGGGGCCGACTGAGTGACAGCGGCTACGGTGGCAGGAGCTGCAGTGGTGCCCAGGCCCAAGGCTGACCCCCAGGTCCCTTCCTTGTATAGCTCCCTCTGACAGTTCTAGGCCCAGCTTTAAGAGGGTCCCCAGCCACGTCACTCCCGCTGTCACTTGTGTTTTATCCCCTTATCTGCCCACTCACTCCCAGCTCACTTCACCTGTCACCAAAGCTACCAGCTGGCTTTGACTTCTTGGCTGTGGGGGGCGATGGGGGCATGTGACACTCAGGACCACCCCTTCCTCTTTGAATCCTCTTTCTCTGGATTCTTTGGCGTCCTACTCAGCTGGCTCCAGACCTCTCCCAGCATCCCCATGGGCCCACCCCATAAACTCTGGCATTCCTGGAGGTCCCATTCTGGGCTTTTGAGGCCCCCTGGGACCCTCCCATCCCTTGGTGACCATGAGGTACTTTAAGCCCAGGACTCCAATCCAGCATCTCCTGGCACGTGTCCTGACCTTGCAGCCCATCGCCAACCACTGACTGGATGTTTCAACTCAGCAGGTGACAAAGGAAGACCTCAGCTCATCACACCCCCTCTCCAGCCTGCTCCTGCTCGGTGCTCACCTCCAAGCTGTCCCAGCTGGCTTGGGACTTGGCATCCTGTCATCAGGGGTCACAGTGCATGCAGGTCAGACACTGCCTCCTCCCTCACCCGCAGCCAGCAAGCTGTGTCCACCTCCCACCCACTCTTCTGTCCTTGCCACCTGCACATGGCCCTTGTCATCAGATGTTCCGTCTCCTATCTACTGTGCATCCTGAAGAGAGAATTCTGGAAATCAGGTTGGGTCATGCCACCTCCCTGCTTTAAACCCTCTGGATCCCAGCTGCCCCTAGGATCAATCTAAGCCACAGGCCTCAGAAGTTGGCTCCGCCTCATGTCACCCCAGTTCCTCCTACTCCCTCAGGACTTCTTTCAGCACATCCCCAAAGCTATAAGCCCTGGTCGGGAAGTACTCAGTCCTCTCTGTTCCTCACCCATGCAGAAAGCTGGGCAGGTGATTCCAGTCCTTGGATACTTAGGGATGAAGCAGGTCACACTGCACAAACACTGGGGATCTGCTTTATTGCACAGCTCTGGTCGGGTCGTCTGGGCCACAGGGGAGTAGCGAGTCAAGTTCCACTCCACCAGCCAAGGCACTCCTCATCCCCCCGGGCCTGTGAGCAGGGGCCCGCTTTCCTCCAGGTGTCAGAAATGTGGTTCTCAGTGTCCATGTTCCAAAAAGTGCAGTTCCAAAGGCAGCAGTAGCTAGGCCCCTTTACATTTCCCCAGATCCACCCGCCAAAGAAAGGGAAATCAGGTGGGCAGGACGTGGCAGCCAGCAAACTTGGCAGAGGCTGGGGTTGAACCACCAAACGGTAATCTTACATCACAATTCTTTATTAGACAAGAATCAGGTTTTCAATACAAGTCATGCTTACCATGCTCCGTTTCACAGGGAGGCTGTAGGGGTTAGGGGAGGAAGGGATTTTGAGGGGTTGTACATGGGAGGCCCCAACTTGAAATGATTGGCAAACCCAGCACCAGGGACTCATATTCTCCTGCCACTACAAAAGAAGAAACGCCAAATAAATAGTCAATAAATAAGTGAGGCTGGCCAGGTATGGTGGTGTATACCTGTGGCTCAGGAGGCTGAGGTCAACCTCAGCAACTTAGCAAGGCCCTAAGCAATTTAGTGAGAACCTGTCTCAAAATGATAAATAGGGTCGGTGATGTGGCTCAGTGGTTAAGTGCTCCTGGGGTTTAATCTCCGTACGAAAAACAAAAACGACAAAAAATAAAACAAAACAAAAAGCCCAGGCAAGGTGAGTGAGCTTTGTCCTGACTAGCTCTGGAAGTTCGGGCAGAGTGTGATGTCCCCATGCTCTCTCCTGAGGAGCGAGGGCACTGGCTGGAGGGTCCCTAGGTCCCTCCTGGTCTGACCCATATTATCTGCATGTCTGTCTCTCACTGTCCCCAGTACAGAGCCCGGAGCACTTGGCGGGCAGAGGCTGGCAAGAGTCAGGGAGGCCCAGTACACTGCTGTAACAAGGACAGACTCTTCACTTTTGCCTGCAAACTTCCCAGGGATAGCTAAAAACAGGATTAAAGACTTGGAGTCTCTGACTCCATTTTTCTCCAGTCTCCTCTGCTCAGAGTGACCCTGGATTCCAGGAACAACAGGTCTGATTGATAAACATCTCGTGCTCAGTCCAAGATGCCTCGCAAGCAACAGCAACCTCCTATCAAGGTCACCAGCTTTGGTAGCTCTGCAAAGCCTCCAGCTATGCAAACCCCCAATCCTTGTTTTCTACACAACCTCAAAGTCATTGTCAGCTCTTAGACACAGGGCTAAGGACATGTGTCCCTGTTCTTTCTGGTGTAGCCGCCCATTCATGCTTGTGGCCATGACCTTTGCTGTTTGGTTTTGGGGTCCCCAGTCAGGCCTTCACTTGTCTCTCTTTGTTCCAACTCTAGGTCACCTGGACGCTGCAGTGAGCCTGGGGAGGCCCCAGTAGGGCAGGAAGGCAGAGTAGAACATTCTGAGGAGACAGAGCCTCCTGAGAAAGCCATCAAGTGACTTCACAGCCACAAAGGATCCTGACCATATGGGTGTCAAATTTGACCCAAAGTATAATTCCAAAAATTTCACATCTTGATGTGTCAGAAAATTAAAGAATGATTCCGAATTTCCCACCAGAGCTGGGAAAGGCCTTGGCCTAACCCAACAGGGACCTCCACTTCCCAGCAGGCAGGGACACAGCTGATAACCCAGCCCGACTCCACCCCAGGCTCCAGTCTCCAGGTCTGGATGCCCCTCCCTCTCAGGGATGCCACCATCCTCAGCCTGGATGGAGTCCTGGCTTTAGCCCCACTCGTAAGGGACAGATCCCACTAGTACCAGCTTCTCAGCTGGGATCCACTTGGGAGGGGAGAAAACCCCAGGGCAGTGGGAGTTTCAGGGCAGGATGCCCCTGCTCAGCCTCCCCAGGCCCCAACAGGCTGGGAAGATGCGGCATCCTAGACCTGGGGGGCCTGGGAGGTATGGGCCCAAGGTGCTGGCAGGAGGGAGTGCAGAGGGACCAGGACAGTTGTCGGGGAGGATAGGGTTGAATTGTCTCCAGGGACATCCAGTCAGGGTCATCCAAAGAGCTGGGGCACCTGAAATGCAATATCACATTAAGGGTCACTGTGGAGACCTTACTTGCTGTGGAGACCCTACCCGCCCCCCCCCCCCCCCACCCCCCCCCCCCCCCCCCCCCCCCACCCCCGGCCCCCCCGGCCCCCCCTCCCTGCGGGGGGCCCCCCCCCCCCCCCCCCCCCCCCCGGAGAGCATCCTCAGCCCTGTTCTTGTCCTGTCCCTCTGTCCAGGAGGCTATCTCATTATTCCTGGGACCTAGCCTCACCTCGCTTGAACAGATTCCATCTCACCCGCCACCTCCCATGACCTGGCTGCCCCACACCCGAGGCTGTGTGTGGAGAGGCTGCAGGGGTGCATGCCTCCCTAGGAAACACCACAGGACATGGAGTAGGGGCCAGTCTTCAGCTCCCTTGGTTGCTGGCACTCAGCCTTTGTGTTTTGCTGAAAAAACGAATGCCTGAACCCAAAGGAGAGCTCTTCCACGACCTGCCTTCCCTGCCTCCCCACCTGCAGGGCCCCCACACCCACACCCTGGTACCTGGGGCCAGGAAGGTGGTCCATCACTCCCACAGGAAGCGCACATACCAGATGGTCTCGTTCTTCAGCTGGGGCCCAAACAGGGGGTTCAGCTGAGCCAGGATGGCGATGAGCCAGCTGCAGGGGACAGCAGAGTGGGGGATGGGCTCAGAAGGGATTTACCCTGCACACCTAGGGAGGCCATTCTTTTCTTTTCTCCTAGAGAGCAAGTCGCCAACACAGTAGGTGGCACAGCTTGTACATGCGCCCAGGGCCCCAGGGAGCTACCCACACTGCAGCAGGCAAGGGGCACTGGTCTGGGGTTTGTGGGTTTTGATTTGGCTTGATTTGATTTTTTGTAGATTTGTAAGGTCCCTGAATTAGGGCTGGAACAGGGATCTGGGAAACAGTGAGGCAACCTCAGGGGTCTTTGGGAGCCACTCCCATGGGGGTCCACAAATATCTCTGGTTTGGACTCCCCAGTCCAATACACAGGGGTGGGGGGTGCAGGAGAGCAGTGCCAGCCTGGAGGGGCGGTATGCCAGAATGGCCTTTTTTCTTTGGGATGCTGGGGACAGAACCCAGGGCCTCACACATGCTAGGCAAAGGCTATACCACTGAGCTACACCCACAGCCCAGAATCACACCTTTCTGGAATAAGAGGGAGGAATATCCCAGGACAGGAGAAACTGCGGGGCAGACAGCCTTGCGCCTGCCGACTGCTGAGCCACTTCTATCCTTCAGGCCAGGGACATGAAGGCATCCCAACAGCAGCTGTGCATCTGGGTGGTGTCTGGCCCTGTCCCTTAGGGCAAAAGTCCCCATTTTGTTTGTCCATAGTAGAGGCCTCAGAAAATTTTGAGAGTGCCTGGCTCAGAGCCCCTATCAATGGTGCTCTGCCTGTTTCTGCAGGAAGGGTCCAACTTTCACCTCAGAGTCCCCTACAGCAGCCTTGGGAGCACCCAGTGCCAGGAAGCCATCAGGAATCTTACTTGTTTTATATCAGCATCATCAGACTTTATGTCTTGAAATATAATTTCTAGGTGTGGAATTTTCTTAAAATGTCTCTGTGAAACTAATCTGTGGCCTGTTTTCCTATACGCTGATTCGGTATTAAATAATTATCCCATATCTTGTGTGTATCCCATTTCCCCAAATTTCTGGCCATCATCCTTTATGTTCTGGTTTCTGATCCATCAAATTTAGCCCCTCTGAGGCCCTCCCTGGGGTAAATGAAGACATTCTGCCAAACTCTGAAGGACCAACAAACAACATTAGAGAAAGGAACTTATAGATGATTTTTCCAGGGAAAGTGCTAAAAGAAAAACAAAAAACAGAAACAAATAAAAAGCAACCTGTGCCCAGGTACTTGCATCCTTAGGTTTTATGAACCTCCAGGGTACTTGTCCCAAGTATGAAGAGTTGTTCTTGCTTACTGCTTCTAACCCAGCTGCACTCCAGTGCCTGGGGCCACTCATTAAAAAATACAGATTCCTGGGCTGGGGTTGTGGCTCCGAGGTAGAGTGCTTGCCTAGCATGCATGAGGCACTGGGTTAGATCCTCAGCACCACATAAAAATAAAATAAAGATATTGTGTCCACCTAAAACTAAAAAATAAATACTTAAAAAAAAATACAGATTCCCAAGAGCAAACTGGAGACCTGTCTGTGATGCTGGATCCAGGGTAGAACGTGAAAGCTATGTTTGAAGGATCCATTTGGGTGACCAGCCAGGTCCAGGTACCACTGAGCTGGTCCAACCCCATTCGTTCCACAAGTGGGAAAACTTGGCTTGTGGTTGCTACAGAATTCATGCAGAGCCAGCACCAGAGCTGGAGTCCATGACTCCCCTTATGCCCTCATCTGATCTCACGACCCCTGCACATAGCCTTCACTCCTGTGTTACAGATTCAGCCATTCAAGCAGGGTTCACTTCGAGGCAGAGAAAAGAGCAGGCCAGGGCACAACAGGAGGACAAAGCTGAGGAGGGCAGTACTTACAAGAGGTAACAACACACAGCGGTGGCCATCAGCATGGTGATGATCACTCTGCAACAGAAGAGGACACAGGTCAGAAGGGTGAAATCAGCACTTCCAGAAGGCCTGGCTGGGGCCAGAGAAAGAGCTCCTGGTGTCAGCTCTGTTCCCAATGGCCTTTCTGATGCCACAGGAACACAGAAGGCTGAGTCCTATCAGGGTAAGAACTGCAAGATGTAAATGAAAAATTCAAATGTCATGGGAAGGCTAACCTTGCCCACATCCAAGCCATGTTACCAACACTTGCCTTCATCTCCCTTTTCCATCACCTAAGATTTCTCCATCTTAATACAAACATGTTGAGAACAGTCATTGCCCAGAGCTGCACATTGTGGAGTGGCCTCTGGGATGCAAAATTCACTGGACAGGGAAAAAAACGTAATAGAGCAGAAATCAGAGCAAGAGGCAAGGAGACCTTGAGACATTTTTGAGGCTGAACTGTTATAAAGTACAGGGACTAGCAACATTGTATCTAATCAAAACTGAAGACAAAAGCTTAAAATGCAGCAGGAGAGATGTCAGTTGACTCAAAAAAGAACCACCAAATTCGGCAGAAAGAATGACACTAAAATGGTTTACGAAGTGAAGTGGAGGGACCCTGCAGCCCTGAGGATTTTTTTTTTTTTTTGTATCAGAAATTGAACCCAGGGGCACTTTCTCAACTGAGCCACACCCCCACTTTTTAAAATATTTTATTTAGAGACAGGGTCTCCTTGAGTAATTTAGGGCCTCGCTAAATTGATGAAATTGGCTTTGAACCCGCCATACTCCCTCAGCCTCTAGAGCTGCTGAGATTACAGGTGTGCGCCATCACGCCTGGCTGACATGGCAGATTTTTAAGAACAATGGCAACACTCATTTATCCAAGCAGCCTCCAGCCTTTTAGCTTAGGCTAAAACTAATCCAAAGCTGGGCCTTCGATCTCAGATCTAAAGCACTTCCAATTGGTGCTGGAGAAATTAGTACTTGCTTGATCCCTTATTTCGATATTACCTAGCAATTTGGTCCAGTCCTGGTTGGCACTGGGTGGGTAGTGCTGATCAGACAACGGATTTGTGAGGACAATATGAAGCAGCAAATGATGAATGGCGCAGAAATATGCTAAGGAACCTTCTAAAATTAATACCAGCTACAATTATCCAGTATACAAAATGTGCCATACACTGCTGTTTTAAGTGCATTATTTCAGGTATTAGCAGCCTTATGAGGCAGGGATCATAGTCATCCCCATTTTACTATGAAAAAAACCGAGGCCTGACATTTGTTCAAGGTCCCAGAGATGGCGAGAAGCTCAGAAATTGCATCATAGTCCATCCGCCAGTCAGGAGGGGACGACAGCAACTACAATGTCGCTTGCTCTTCACCTAGGTATCTGCCCTTTCTCCCCGGCCTCCTGCCTGTTCCTGAGCTGAATGCAGCCCGAATGCGGAGACCTGGTGGAGGCGTCACAGAGGGGTGCCCCGGCTGTGGGCGCTGGCTTGCAGCAGGGAAACAAAAAACAAAAAGGAAAGGAAAAAAAAAAAAAAGTCGCCCCGGGGTGGAGGGGTGAGCCCAGGCATGGGAGAGGGGAGGGGGCGTAGGCAGCCAAGCCTTGAGCGCCTTCCTTACCCGCGGTTGGGTCCCTTCGGCACGAACCAGGGTCCGGCGAGGCCGATGAGACCCCAGAATGTGGTGAAGATGATGATTGGGAGGGCAAAGGAGTGCGTCGTCATAGTGGGCGCGGGATGCCCAGGCTGAGATGCTGGCCGGAGAGACGAGACAGACGCTGCGCTGGTCCGGACAGCGGGTAGCAGGCAGCTGACTGCAGACAGCGGGCAGTGAGCATGCGCAGAGGGACCCAAGGTGGGGGTCTAGGCTCTCCTCTGGGCACGATCCGCGCACGCGCATCTCGGGGTCCGGCCTGGTGGGTACGCAGCCTTTACACTGTCACTCAGCGGCAGAGGGCGGTCCTTCCGAGGACCCCATTTGTTAATTGGCTGAACGGTCCCAGGACCTAAAGAAACGCCCCCCTCTAGGTGTACTGGGGACCCACGCTCCTTTTTTGTTCCCAAAGACCCCTGGCGCCGTGGGTCATCCCAGAGGTCGTCCCTGCTTTGTACCCCGATCTTGCGCTGCAGCCAACGATCTCCCCATTCCCGGGGCGGCGGACCGGGATGTGGATCTGGGGTCCTGGAAGCCGCAGTAGACGAGAGCGGCTGAGCTGAGCCCAGTTAGGGGGCGGCAGGATCTCAGCCTGTGTTCTGGCCCTCAGTGGCGGGCGGCGAATGCGGAGGGGCCAGGTGGGCGCGAGGGCTGACCCCGGGCAGCCCACACTCATCGGGTTTCGGCGCCCTCTCCTGGCTTCAGTCTAGGAAACCCAGCAGCGGCTTTGTGTTTAGGTTCCCGACTCCGCGCACAGCTACTGTCCGCTTAAATATAGAGTGGGGATGGCAATTCCTATGAAGTTGCTGGGGGACAAAGTGAAGTGAGCATGGGGACAGCACCTAGCATAGTAGGGCGCTCTTACTGTGAGTCTGATTTTGCCCCTGGGCTCTTTGGAGACGAAGAGCGTCTATCACTATTTTCTATAGAGATACCTCTACCTGCTGGTAGAGGTCGCTCTAGCAGCAGTCGCCTCCCCAAGCAGCCTGCCACATATATTTTCTGGCTTCAGTGGTTGCGTAGCACGGGAAAGGAGCCTGTGATACAGTAGAGGGGAAATGCCTTATTCTGACGCCGCCAGTGATGTATGGTTCTAGCTATTTTCCCAAAGCAGGAACCAGTCACATCCACCTTCGCCATTCTCTAGTTGAACCTTCTTAACCATCATTTCAACATTTATTTATCGGAGGTGGAGGTGGGTGATACAAAGATTTTTGAGTGTAAAATTCCACCCTCCATCATTTCAGTATCCATGCAAGTTAGAGGTAAGAAGGGAGTGGTACACAAAGATCTTAGGTTTAAAATGCCATCCTAGCCTCGGAGGAGATTCTAATCAAGTTGAGGAGTGATGCACTATGTTAAAACTATCATGCTGGTCGAAGACTCCTAGCTCAGCTGTCTCTGTCACTAGTTGAGCTTGATCTTTCTTGGGAACCTCTAAAAGAGGAAAAATGTGACACTATTTTATACAGCTCCTAAAACTCTTGAAATTGCATTGAAATAAACTTCATTTCTCCTGCGTGGTGTTGGAGTTCTCTTAAAACCTACTCCCACTATTCCGACTGATGGCATTTCAGTAGGGAGCACAAGTCAGCTTCAGGACTGGCGCAGGTGTGTGTGCACACCTGTGGGTTTAGGAAGAGTGAGGCTGGCTGTCTTTCCACAGAACATGCTGCTGCTGCTTTTGCTGATTGTAAAAGGGAGAAGAGCTTTGGGTGAAGGATTCCCAGCATCCCCAAGAAAGGCCCCAAACCACCTGTTAGCCAGGCATCTGAATTCCCTCACAGAGCTCATCAGGTTCCTGGAGCCTCAGAAGCTGTCCGGGCTGCAGCCTGCAGATCCACATCCCTCAGAACTTTGTTCTCCCATTTCCCCTCTATGATGGGAGTTGGATAGCCTGTGAGAATTACAGCAACACCTAGGAATTCCTGAGATCAGTTACTCCTGAAGGGACAGAGACAATCTGGGTGGGAGCTGTAGGGTGACCTCCTGTTTACTCCTGCAGAGGTTCACGTCTAGCAGCCACAGATGGAACTTACACTCAGAAGTACTCTGCCTCACAAGCCCCTGAACACAAGAGCTCTTTCTGCAAAACTCCATCTCATTATGTATGGGAGGAAGATGAGGGATGGGTTTTATAGAAACCAGCTTGAGGGTTGAAACAGAAGGTCCCTCATGAAAATTTCCTGATAGGTTGGCCTAGGCAGGTATTTAGTATGGTTCACTGAACCTGGCAGTCAAGAGCAAAGGGCCAGGTACTTCTCTGTCCATCTGTCTTCCTAAGGACATACTGTCTTCTGTGACATTGTTCATAGAAATGTTTTCTGACTTGCCTATAGAAGGCTCCCCAGCCTTCCTAGTAGCAGCTGCTTCAGGAGCTATTGAAGTGGCAGTGAGAGCCCTGACTCCCTAGCAGAGGTCATCTCTGAACAGATGCTGTGATGACAGGAGGAAGTGATAGCCAGATAGCCTCACCTGGCTCCAGGACTTCAGTGTTCTCAGATTCTGGACACTTCTCTGAGTTGAGACACTAAGCCACACTTGGCCCCCACTGCAACATCCACACAATCCTGCTCTCAGAGGTGATCTTGCTGGGACTACAGGAAGAGAGGGTGATAGGGGCTGAAAGTAGTATGTCCTTGTCACCAGATTAATATCTGAGCTCTTTTTACGGAGTTTTTGTTGTTTTCTGAACTAAGGATTGAAACACTGAGCCACGTCCCCAGCCCTTTCTAAATTTTATTTGGAGACAGGGTCTCACTAAGTTGCTTGGGGCCTAACTAAGTTGCTAAGCTGGCTTTGAACTCAAAAATCCTCCTGCCTCAGCCTCCCAAATCACCAGGATTACAGGGATGCACCACTATGCCCTGCTCAATCAGTGGTTTTAATGTCTTTAAAAAAAAATGTCCTCAGATACAGTCGACTCTTCTCTACCAAAAAGACTTGGTTGTACCTCAGCCTCTGTAGTAAACCTTTGCTCTTTACTGCCAGGAAGGATGTGTGGCCTGCAGAGCAGGGCTGCAGTGGCATACTGAGAGCTGGTCCCTTAGGAACTCTTTGGAGTGGCAGGTCTGGCACTACTGGTGGAAAGAGATGTTTTCCCCTCAATAGTCTGGCTTTGATATTCCCAGTAAATCCAATGAGACAGCATTTGTGAAAGGACTCTGCTAACTATGACATGCCAGGTGGCAGGGAGATAGTGGCACTCCTCACTACATCCCACCACTTTCACTGCGAACAGACTCTGCTCACCTCCAGGATCAGAAAGGACAGAGACCCAGACAATGCTGAAGGCACACACGAGCTTCCCTGCCCACCTGTTCTGGGCCCTGTCACCTCTTGAAAGAGGGGTGATCCAGCAAGCTCTGATCAACATCCCTCATCTCCAGAGTCTTAATCAGGGACTTAAAAAGCTTGTGTTGAAATAAACTGCTTTATTCAGATAACAAAAGGTTAAGAATTGAACATGGTTTTTAAACCACATTTGTACATTGTTGAAACGAGAGAAGGCAAGGACACTCCTGGCCAGTCACCTTTGGTTTCTTGGCTATGAAGATGCTTGTGTGAGGGAACTGGTGACCTTGTCTCGAGCACCCTAGGGACTTGCCCTTTGCAACACACAGAAACAAAGCTATGGAGTTGGTTACACTCTAAGGTGCCCAGCTGGGACAGGGGCTAAGCTCCCTCACTCCCCCAGTCTCTATGGCTACTGAAATCAAGTGTCAAGTACAATGCTGGTTACTCAGAATGTCAGCCCTTGTGGGCGTCAGTCATCAAGGAAGGGAGGGCCAAGGGCCAGGATGTGCGCCTGGAGATGCTGTCAAAATTTCAGGCAGGGAAGGAGGTGGAGACAATGGCCAAAGGAAGTGCTTCTCCTGCCTCACAGTGCCCCCCAGCTCATTTCCCTGTGAGGCAAACACAGGCGCATTTCCCACCCGGGTCTCCAGGGCCCAGACTCTAGAACACAGCCAGCCCCTGGACACAGAGCAAGAAGGCCAGCCTGGGCACTGAGGTTCTGACAGAAGGGCACTTGCCACATGGCCACCAGGGGTCCTCAACAAGAATGTCACTTGTCTTCTTTTCTCTTTGCCTTGAGCAGGCAAAGACATACCAGAGGTGGCCCAGGTCCCTCGAGAAACTTGGGGTAGGGCAAACACCTGGGATAAACAGCATTTTCAGTTGCCACTTCAGGGACCAATTCCTCTCCACCAGCGGGAGGCACTGGATGGTGACCACAGTGTGCTGCAGTGGAAAGGGAGGGCGCTTGCTTACCTGACAGTCCCCTCGGCTCTAGAACATCCTTCCAGACTGCTCTGAAGAAAGCTACCCTGAATGCTCAGACTGGTGGCTCACTTAGGGGACTTTGAAGGGATGGAAGACCCACTAGAAGGGCACTTGCTGGAACATCTCTTGAGTCTGGAATCCCTGGGGTGGGACTACAACCCCACCCCTGCCCTGGCAAATCCCTGAACTGCTCAAACGCAGGTGGGTGGGAGAGGGAGGTCTGTGCCCTAGGTGGCCACCTCCCAGAGCTGGAGGGTTGAAGGCCTGTGCTGTCCCTCAGCCCTCAGGCCCAGAGGGCCGGTGTGGAGATAGCTCCACAGGATGGGGGCAGAAGGGGGAAGGAATTCCTGACTAGAGGAACATGAGGTGCTAAGGCAGAGTGTAAGGGGGTAACAGGAAGGAATGCAGGATCCAGGGCAGCTGCATAACAGTGAGGCACCTGGCTGCCAGCATTTCACAGGCTTCCAGCACCTGTTGGCGTAAGAATCAGGCTGACTGCTGGTCAGGGCGACTATGGGTACTTGCACCATAGAGCAGGGCCCCCCTGCAGGCATAAGGCGGGAGTGAGAAGCCCTCCCCTCAAATATTCCTTACTTCTCACCCATGGCTAAGGTAGGCAGAACCTGGACAAATCATCCCGCCCTAATGGGCAGGCCCCTGAGCCAGCAGAGGCCAAGCTGCTGCCTCCCCTGGGGAGGGAAAGTGCTTCACTTCAGGCTGAAGACAGCGGAAGAGACAAAGGACCTGGGCGTGTAGGAGGCCCTCTGTGCCTTTAGGGTCACGTTCTTAAGCTGCAGGATAACCAAAGAGTTCCTGCAGGAGCCTTTTAGAAACTGCCAGTAGCTAAGCCCTGACAGGATGATTCCACATATCTGGGTGGGGCACACTTAACAGGCAGCCCTGGTGGTTCCCAGCAGAGCCCCCCAAAGAGGCTGCAGGAGCATGGGCATGCCTGTCCTGTTGAAGGTACATGTGGAGAGCACCTCAGCCCACAGCAGGACTCTGGGGGCAAAACTTACTGTCCCACTAAGGATGGAGACCTGGAGAGAGCCTTCTCTAATGGTATGGCAGACGGGGAGCCAGCAGGCACTTGGACTCTGCTATACTGCATGGACGGGTAAACTGAGGCACAGAAAGGAAGGAATTGACCATGGCGAGCCACTGCCTGCAGTGGAGCTGGTCTGATCTCACATCCCCCAGCTCCAGACTTGATCCCATGTACTCTTTTGTTCTGATGCTGGCCATGCCCAAGGGCTCCAGTGGCGGTGGGGGGAGCACAAAGCTTTCCTCCAGGGAAAGCACTCATCTCACCGTCCTGGAGCTGTGGAACAAAATCCATCTTGGTGCTCCACGCAAAGGGTTTTCCTCTGCTGCATCCTAAAAGCAGGCCCAAGCGCAGTAGAGAAATGCCCTGATATGCCCAGCTCGCTGGCCTATTTGGAGTGGCGAGGCACTGCTGTGCTCAGATACAACCGTGGGCAATTAGTGGCACACCTCCTAATTACCCTGTCCTTTGGGAATGCTGGTTTCAACCATCTGCCCACTTTCTGGGCCTTTAGGGGCATGTCTGCCAGGACATCCTAGAACCTGCAGAGGGCCTGTTCTCATAAGTTGGGGGAGAAGGGCCAGGGTCATTAGGGGATTCCCAAAGCCTTCTCCAGGCTGTCACTTGCTCAGAACCATGTGTGGCCCCTGGGCTGGTGCTTGGTACAGGAGTCTCAGGAGGCTCCATGATGCAGTCCTTCAGAACCTCCAGGGCTCCCTGGAGGGCGGGACGGGTGGCTTCGGGGCCACAGGGCCCTCCATGTGGAGTGTTCCCATCCCCTCCTTCTTGAGCCCCGCACCTGTGCAGGAGAGGAGAATGACAAACAGACCAAGCAAAAGAACCAGCCAAGCACGCCCTCAGGCCTGCGTGCTGAAGACAGCGTGCAGGACAGGCTAGGTGGCCCAGCACTGCACCTCGCAACCCTTGTTCTGTCTGGTGTTTTTCCCTGGCAAGGGAGCTCAGCATTGGGCAGGGTTGTGTGTGGGAATCTGTCCCTAGCAGACATGTAGCAATGTCTGGAGGCACTTTTGATTGTCACAACTGGCGGGTACTAGTGTCCACACAATGCATGGAGGCTACCACAGGAAATATTCTGCTGAAGGGTCCACTGCCTGCCCAGGCAGGAGGGTGTCATCACATGCAGCAGTTGTTTCCTCCCAGGTAGAGTACCTGGCCTTGTGGGCTGGACAGCTTGCTGGAGGGCACCCAATGGCGCCTTTGCCTCCTTCACCCCACGTTCCCTTAACTGACTGGTGTGTGCAGAACTCACTGAAGCCCCTCTGGGCTCTCAGTCTCTCATATGGGAGGGACTGCCTCCTGCCCCAGCTGCGGCTTCAGGGCCACTTGGCTTCTTGCAGAGCCTGAGTCCACCCTGGCACTCAGTCCCACTGCTGATGACCACAGGCACAGAGGTGAGAGAGAGAAGGGAAGAGGTGGTAAGGCGAACAGCTAGGAGAAGACACCCACTCTGTCCCTACTGAGCAAACGGGAACAGCCTGGAGGACTCCCGTGGCTTGGGCCTCTGCCTTGGTTCTCAGTGACTACTTAAGAGGGAGATTTCTTGTTTACAGCTGTCAGTAGTGTGCCCTCTGGTGTGACATGGCCGCCCTCAGGCCTGTGACCAAAATGAGCTCTGTGGTCTAGGTGGCCGTTTTCCTGTTCTGTTCACTGCCTGAGACACCTGCCTTCCCTCTGCCTCATCTCCTCCACTGCCACCCCGACCCACGATGTCCTCTTCCCTCCTGCCAATCCCCACACAGCCCAGGGTTGACCCACCCTGCTTAGGACATGATGCCCTGCCCTGCCCCATCCAGTCCTCTAGCTTAATTTCTGCAGGCTTCACTTGGTGCCATCTGTATTACTGGCCAGACTGCTCTCAGGGTTCTGAGTAGACTTACTACCTCTAAGATGAAAACCAGAGCCCCAGGAGGCTGACCTGCGCCCGGCCACAGCCAGGGTGGCTGTCGGGCTGCAGAACTGCATGTTCTTCTCACCATGCCTGCTGCCTCGAGCCCATGCTCTGGTCTCTCTGGGTTGGGTACACACCTGTGAGGGTAGCTCTTATGTCTCTAGCATCCACTGGCCTGGCTGGGCAAAAGCCCCTGGGAACTGAACCTCTTCTGTGGGCTCCCTCACTCCCACTTCTGGCTCTGCATGGGACCTGGCTAATGAGGTTCTCTGCTTTGTCACCCTTGTGGGGAAACTGCCTTGTACTTACTTGTGTGGGAGCCGCCTGGCACCCGGGCACAGGAGTAGACATGGCTGAAACGCCGGCCTGAGGAGGTCAGGTACCAGTGCTGGATGGCAGGCTGGGGGTCGTACTCTGTGACTGCCACACCGTTCACCGCTGTCATCATGAGCATGTTGAGCACCTCATTGGAGAGCTTGGTCCTCTCGTCGGTCCTGATCCGGTTCATGGCCTTGAACCCCCGCTCACAGCAGGAGGTGGAGATGGGCACACAGACCACCACAGCCACAAGCCTGCTCAGCAAGGGGAAGCGGCAGTGCTGGGCCAGGGCGTTTTTACACAGCATGGAGAACGGGAGGTTCTGGGCAGTGGCTTTTAGACCCAGCCACTCCTGCAGCAGCGCTTCCTCACTGTACCCTGTAGGAAGGGAGAGCTCAAAATACCTGGCAAGGCTGAGAATGTCATCATTCCCAAAGTGGGCCAGTTCAACCCCACTGGGCCAGGTCATGGTGTCAAATACCTCCATGCTCTTGAGCTGAGGGGGACGGTCCACATCAAACCGCTGCCGGAGGTACTCGAGCCCAGTCAGGATCATTCTCTCCCTGTCAGCCTGGAACCGCTGCTCTGCCATCTCCATCCTCTCCAGGAAGACGCCATGGAGCTGCCCATCCTGGAAGCCGGCATTGAACTCCTCCTCCTTGGGTCCTGCCTGGTGGCGGAGGGTCTCCAGTGCCACGTAGGCCCGTCCCAGTGTGGCGTTCACCTCTGTGATCAAAACGATCTCCTTCTGGCACACCTCAGACAAGGGCCTGTAGATGCTAAGGAAGTCCAACAGGAAGTGGCAGAATTTAATAAAATGGAAGCCCTTCATCAGCTTCAGCATGCCCTTGGCCCTGTGCCCAATCTGGCCCCCTGCTTCTGCCACACTCTGGAGGTGCCTTGCCAGGGCAGGCCAGCTCACAATGAGTGCGTTCAGTGTGCGCCTCTTGCTGGCCACCCACCTGACCGCATTCAGGTCCTTTAGGCGGACGATCTCCTGCTCCAGGGCAGCCGCACTATCCTGCAGCTCGCTCAGTCTCTTGTTGGAGGACTGGTAAAACTTGAAGACAGTTCTGATGTGCCTATCACACTTCTTCACCAGGTCAATGCTCCCACAAGCGTCCACCACAGCCAGGTGCAGCCGGTGGGCCACACAATGGACAGGCAACAGCTGGGGGATGATCTCCCGGAACTTCTCCATGAGGCCTCCCTTGCAGCTCAGCATGGTGGAGCCATCAGTCCCCAGGCCTACTACCCAGCCAGGCTTCCGGAAGGGGATGTCCAGCTCATCCAGGGCAGCAATGATGGTCTCAAAGTACCCATCCACTGTCTCACTGTAGAGAGGGGCCAGGGTAATGTATGACTCTTTCACTTCCATCTGCTTAAAGTAACGGATGTAGATCCCCACGCAGGCCTGGTCAGAGGAGTCTGTGCAGCTGTCCAGCAACACACTCACACACGGAGAGTTCCGGATGTCACCAAGGATCTCCTTCTTCAGAGTCTCTGAGATGTATTTGATGAACTGAGTGCATGCAGTGCGATTTCGATACTTACCTAAAATCACAGTCCCAGTGCTCTGGAGGAGCTGCAGGACCTTCTCAAAGTCATTCAGGGGCCTGGAGTGGTATGCGATGGAGTAGGCAGCATTGAAGAAGTGTTCCATGTTGGCCATGAGGTCACTAGAGATCTCTGGGATTAGGGCAGCCTGAGGGCTGTCATCTTTGACGGCCACAGTGTTGACACAGAGTTTGTGTGCCTTGCTGACTTCGTGATATTTTAAAGTCTCCACCTTAAAAGGCCCAGTATAGCCTCGAACTAACCGAGATGATTTGTCATGGAGGGTAGGTCTCTCTCTGCAGACTGAGCAAAAGAGCGTGGTCTCTGTGGGGTCAATTACTAACCACGGGAACTGCCCAAACCACGACCTCTGAATGGATCGGGGTCGGTAAGTCCTCTGGATTTTCCTAGGTCCTTCTGCTTCTACCTCACACGTGCTGGAAGGGCAGTAGGCATAAGATTCCACAGGAGGAGCCGGAAGTGATGCCGATTCTGCAGCCCAGGATTGTGCATCTGCCTCTCTTTCTGCTACCATTTTCTTTTTCCCTTTGGGGGAAATAACACTGTGATTAGTTTTGCTGCCAGAGCTCTGCAGTCTTCTACCAGCTAAGATACTCCCAATCAATAAGTGCTCCTTATGCAAAGCAGAGGAGCTGAAGGTGACCCCTCTTTCTAGAAATCATTAGTGACTTCTACTTAACCCCTCACCGTATTACTTGTGAAAGTCAATCTGGTGGGCTGGGGTTGTATGTAGCTCAGTGGTAAGGCACTTGCCTGTCATATGTGAGACACTGGGTTTAATCCTCAGAACCACATCAAGATAAATAAATAAAATAAAGGTGTTGGATCCATCCAAAACTAAAAAATTAAAAAAAAAAAAAAAAGAAAGTCAATCTGTCTCCCCAGGAGTAGTGTGTGTCCTTGTGGGTGCTTTTGTTGGCCTCCCCTCCTGTCCATCCTTTTAGCTACTCTGGGATCATATGATGCCTATGCTCAGAAGCTTAATCAATCACCCTTGGCCACAGATATTATTAAAGAAGTGGCATTAATCCTCTTGTGAAATGAGAAAAGAAGGGAGGTAGAGCACACAGGCAGCTACTAGCCAGCAGGTTGTGACTGAGATGCACAAAATTGCTCATTCTCACATTCCTTTCCTTATACTCTTGTCACTATACACCCAGGGGAGAGGGGAAGACAGGCTCGACACCTGTGGGCCACCTGGTTCCTCATGTCCATCATGTCCCCCATGTCCCTTCTCCTGCTAGCTCTGCCACAGAGTCCTTTGGCACTTCTGTTCATCAAAGAACCTCCTTTTCCCCTTACTGTCACAGTTCCTAGACCATTCACACCTGAGGGCAGGCCTTGTTTCTTAGTCACCTTCGCCTACCCAGGGCCTGACGCACAACAGGTCCAGGAAAAACATGGCTGAACTAATGTCGTGTTACTTGTCATAGCTGTAAAGGCCCCTGCACATAAGACCTTCAGAATTCAGTGGGTGAAGACTCACCTGGGGACCGACCACTCCCCCACTTCAGTCCGATCGGGTCTCTGATCCAGGGGGCAGCTCTCCGTTCCAGTTTTGAGATCAAGTCTGGCTTTGCAGCAGCAGGCCCTGTTGCAGAAATGAAGAGTCACACTTTTGCCACTGCTCCAGACCATTATTCAGCAGCCCCTCTGCACCTGGCCCCCAGTCCACGCAGTGGGGTCTGTCTTTGGTCAGTCAGCCAGGGCAAGCTGAGGGCACACCCACCCAGAGTGCCAAAGAGATGGCTAGGGGCGCCTTGCCAGAGGATGGCTCACCTCTGCAGCTCTGTGGATCAGCCATAGGAGCCGGGGCCAGTGAGATGCATTCAGAGGGGAAGAGGAAAAACAGGAAAAGCAGAGGATACAACTGAAGGAGAGCAAAGGCAGAGTGAAAAGGAAAGCCTCACAAGAAGTGGATGTCACCACCCACAACTGTCCCATGCATGCATCCCCTAGTGCACTTTAGGTGGCCAACTGCACAGGCTATTTGACGCACCCCTGAAAATTCACCACCTTCAATGGATCCTGAAATCTGAGTAAAAGAAAGTTACCCCTTATTTAAAATGTAACTATTTTTCAGGGATATGCTAAAGAAATTGCTTCCTTTTTTAAAAATAAAGCCCATTACTATCTACTTGCATGTTTTCATGTCTACATGAATGTGTGTATAGACTTTTTTTGGAAGGGCATATAAGCAGCTGGTAACTTCTGGGGAGGAAGAAGGTTGGGAAAAGAGGGATTATTTTTTGCTACTCATCTTTTGGATCACTTAAATACATTTAAGTTTACTATGTAGGTATTTATTAGTATCTATTATCTACTGTGATAAAAAATAAATTATTAAAAGTGTGGTTGATTGAACTCACATCATTCTTGAAATATCTCTAAAATGAGAGTAAAGGAATAATAATAAAAAGACGCATAAGCCCAAGAGAAATACTGGACTAAAAAAAGCTGATACATTTTTAGAAGAAGAAAAGGAAATAAAAGAGAGAACCAACAGATGCATATCCACACCTGCAGAGGGGGGGACAAGGAGAAGCAAGTTGTTTGCAGCCCCAAATCCCAAAGAGATTAAGAACCAGCAGGCTCTGCTTGCTGTGAGGGAAGGGAGTGGGTAGGGAGCGAGGGAGCAGGGAACGAGATCAAAGTCTACACAGACCCCAGGACCTCTCAGCCATCCCAGGAAGCCAGGCAACACCATCACCTCACCTCGGGGGAGAACAGAGATTCCGCAGGAAAACCTACCAAGAAAGGCTCCAGATCCCAGGATGCTGAAGAAGCACGGTGCTAACACCAGGACACACCAAGGCTGGGGGCGCTGCTGGCTCCAGGAGCCAGGGCTCGGCTCATACCTCCAAGCGGAGGCGAAGAGTTGGCTTTGCAGAAATAGAACTGCCCCTCGCTCTCCCGCCAAAACATCAACAGACAGTGTTGTGGACTCCTCAGTGAGACATCCAGGCTTGAGCTGGTCCCCTACAGTGTCACCTACTCTTTGTTGAGTTCCAGCCACAAGCAGAGCTTCCCCTCAGTTTTTAAATAGGACTGAACATAGAGAGAACTCTTCAAGAGACTCCAACATGAAAGAGAAAAACCAAAACAAGTAGGAAAAAGCCCTGGAAGAACTAAAGATCTTGCAGGGAGCAAAACAAGACTCCAAACAATCCAGAACTAATATTCACAGGCTGGGGTGTAGCTCAGTGGTCGGGCACTTGCCCAGCATGCGTAAGGAACGGGGTTCAATCCAGGCCACAAAAAAGACCAAAAAAAAAAAAAAGCGTAAGTATTCACAGTGAAAAAAGCAATGATAGTCATCCACAAAAGAAGCTTATAAAATAGAAAAATCCAATAGAAAAATTTAAAAAATAGAATTGTTAGGAAAAAAAACAGAGGAGACCTCTAAGAAAGTTCGGTAAAAAGGACAGAAGCAGAACATGGGAAACAAAAAAAGCCCAAGGCTCAACTCAGAAAGTCCAATATCTAGCTAATAGAGGAGTTTGGGGAAGAAAGAGAAGAGAATATATAGGAAGAAGTCATAAAGGAAAAAATTTAAGAACAGAACACTTCCCTAAACTACAAAGTGGAAGAAAAGCGCCCAACAGCCAGAACAAAAAATAAGTGAACTCCCATATAAAGGCATGTCATGAGACATTTCAGAACACTGGAATAAATTTTATAAGCTTTTAGAGTAGAATAAGTAGTGTTCAAAGATTTAGAAATACAATGGGCATTAGACTTCTCAACAGCATCAATAAAAACTAACAGAGTAATGCTTTCAGAATGGTGAGGAAAACGGGGTTCCAATCTGGAATTCTATGGCCATCAAGTTATCAACCAGCTGTGCAGGTAGAATAAGGCATCTTCAGACATGTAGAGTCTTAAAGAAAAGAAATGTCCTCCTATCCACCCTGCCTAGGAGGCTACTCAAAGACGGGCTTCCACAAATTGAAGACACACATCATGAAAGAAGAGACAGGTCCAGGAAGTGGGGAAGTGACAAGGAGAGGCTAAGGCCACATGGCAGGCCCAGTAACTAGATTAATCACTAGTTTAGACAGAGCAAGGGAGAGGAAGGCCCAATGAAGGAAGCCTCCAGAATAAGAATAAGACCAACAGATCATATGATTGTTCACCACGTGGAAAGACTCCAGAGGAGTTCTGTAACTCCACTGGATAGTCTGGGAAGATTTGGAGAGAGGACAAATACTAGCAAAATAAAAATATGAAAAAAATCAAATTCCGGGGAGAAAGTCCTACAACAAAGAAAATATCACCATAATATACTGCTTTGCTCAACAGTTAATAACACATAATTACAACCAGGCAAATAACTTACATTGATGGAACCATGAAAGTGTGTGACACCTGTTCTGAGAGGACAAGGGAAGAGAAGTGGGCCTGGGAGATGTGAGAGGCATGTCTGCACTTTCCACAGTAGGAACCAAGAGATACATCTAAATCAACAAACAGAAGGAGCAGTGAACCCGGCAGCAAGGTGTTCAAGCAGGGTCTGTCTGGGCTGGAGGCCCCAAAGTAGGAGCCAACCATCATCCATTCTCAAGCTGGACTATGGAGGCACACTTGGAAGGAGGATGGCCCTGGCCCTCACCCAGGAAGAAGGAATCAAGGAGCTAAAACTGGGTCAGGATATTGGGTATTAGAGATGTTTCTGGGAAAAGTTGTCAAGTGGATTATGAGTTTCTCTTTCCTACTATGGAGGGTGGTGTTTCTTTCTCCTAATTATAGAAATGCATCCTGAGTTATGTCCCCTGGAGCTGTGGGGCTGGCCATGAATCCAGGCCTAGGAAGGGTTAAAGGCAGATGCTGAGAGTGGGTGCCCTCACAGGGGCCCTGGTGGAAATTGCCTACATTCCCAAGGTTTGTCTGAGCAAAGGATAATTATGTACTCTCCATGGTCCAGGTGTGGGCCATGCAGGGAAGAGAAGAGGTCCAGAACCATACTTCAGAGGTTCTGCCATGATAGCTGTTTCCTGGTGTGATGGTCCCTCCATGAAGGAACCTAAGAAGAAAGTCAAAGAAGACATTTACCCATGTCAAGAGGTCCCTAGAAGCCAGGTATGATGGTGCCCACCTGTGATCCCAGCAACTCAGGAGGCTGAGGCAGAAGGAATGCAAGACCAGCCTCAGCAACTTAACGAGACCCTCAGGAACTTAGAGAGATCCTATCTCAAAATAAAAAATACAAATGACTCGGGATGAGCTTAAAAAGTAAAAAGCACTCCTGGGTTCAATCTTGAGTACCACCCCCCCTGCAAAAAAAAAAAAAGGTCCCCAGTGACAGGGTTGGGAGGGGGTTGGTCTGTGGAACCCAAACATATCCAAAGAAGCAGCTTTAAACTATCACAGTTGTAAAGAGCTGGTGTCAGATGACAGGGAGGCCAGGTAAACCATTCCTGTACATCTCTTACTTACCCCATTTCCCTCCCGGGGTGCAGCAGAAGCCCTGGAATAAGCTGGGGGCAGGAAGACAATAGCCCTTGTCTTTATTAAAAAACGTTTATTTTTGTGGTACTGAGGATTAAACCCAGAGGCCACCTACCACTGAGCCACCCCTCAGTCCTTTTTATTTTGAGACATGTTTTGGCTAAGTTGCTGAGGCTGACCTCAAACTTGCAATCCTCCTGCCTCAGCGTCCCTAGTTGCTGGGATCACAGGCATGTGCCACCAGGCCCAGCAGCTCCTCTCTTCCTTTTATGATTCCAGATTCTAGACCTGAAGCAGGATGAGGTAGAAAGGTAAGAAACTTTAGTATTAATAGAAGTACACTTAGCATTAATGGAGGACTAGACTTTTGTGGTCTAGCTTTTTTTCTTTTTTTAGTAAAAATTTGATATAATTTCAAACTTAATAAAAGTTTCAATAGTAATACAAGGAATGCCAATTGTATATATTTTGTCCCATTTTTCTTTCATGAGCTCACATGCACACTCACTCTTTGCATGTGGATATATGATTAATATTTTTCTGAACCATTGAGAGTAAATTGTTATCACGACCCTCCATCCTGTGTGTATTACTCAAGGACATCCTCAAGGGCAGCAGACAGAACTCTAACTTGGCATTGGTGATGCTCACACTGGCCTGATCTATTCCCTGCGGGTGTGGATACGATCTGTGAACAGGGGATGTCATTCCTGTGATCATTTTATGTTGGGTGACAAAGAGAGGGCATCCAGGCAGACTGGCCTCATTCCAGAGCCTTTTAAAAGCTGGGAGCATTCTCCAGCTGGAAGCTAATGGGGAAGCCAGAGTTCCGAAGCACAAGACACTCTGTGCACTGTTGCTGGCCTGAGAATGGATGTGGCCACAGGAGAGGAACTGCAAGTAGCTGTCGGGAGCTGAGAGATCCCTGCTTGACAGAAAGCAAACCAGGCCCTCAGCTCTACGACCACAAGGAGCAGGGTTTGTCACCAAGACAGCCATTCTCCCCCAGAGCCTCTAGGAAGAGCTCCTGGACCAGCATCTTAATTCTGGCCTGAAACCTTAAGCAGCAAGCCCTGCTGAGGCCACCTGGACTCTGACCTAGAGAGCTGAAAGACAGTGAGTGAGTGTGTGGGACTTTGTTCG